TCTCGATCTTTAATAATACAGATCAAAACGTTTGATGTTATAGATGTTTTCTTTCTCCATGGAAATCACGAGAGCTCGGAGCAGCGAAAGGAAATGAAAAGAAAAGCCCCTGACTAATGCACATTTTTGTTATACTTCACTCTAATATCCTTATTAAAGTTATTATGTCGCTTCGGAAAATATTGGCAGTACAGTAGTAAATTGAAAGACTTCTCTCATTTATCATCCTCTTTATCAGTTTACTTCTCGTGTTGTTTCTCTTAATATATTTGCTTCTTTGCTTTTGTTGATATTGTTTATTTATATAATACCACTGTGAAATCATGCTATTCATTGCACATTCGCACAATGTGCAATTACTTACTTTTCTCTCACTACGTGCCGATAATGTCGCGAATTTACAGAATATTATTTAATTCTAAAAAAAGAAAAAATTGTCTTGTCTTATATTTTCAAATAAAAATATGTATTAGTAATTTAATATTAATTATTATATAATATAAATACAGATATTTACACAAAAATTCAATGTCGTCAAATTCTCTTCAAAGCTTTACAAGAAAAAACAAAATCTTGTGCAAAAATGAAAATAAAATGAAAATAACAAATTTTCCTTAAAAAAGATTACTAAAAATTAATACAATTTAATACAATTAATTTATTAATATTTTATTAATATTTAATATAATTAATACAAGTTATTACGATAATGAAAATTTTAATCATTTCATTAAACAAAAAAAACAACATATTTGTATCTGCAAAACTCTTAAAATTCGCGAAATTTCATTTTTTTCGACTAATTCTCCACGTACGCATTATACACATGCACATCATACACGCACTACGAGTCACAACACCAACAAAAGTCTCTATTAAATTTTTTTTTATATTTAGTTGCATGCTTAACTTATTTACGATGTATTTATTTATTACAGGTTAATTCACAGGACGATCGACTACGTCGCGACCCGCCGTGTCGGCAGTTTCTCCGATGTTATATCCAAACTACGTCAGCATGATAATTAAATTAATCAGACTAATTCAATATTCTCCCGACATCGATTTCTACGAAAGTTCATCCCAGGCGCATCAAATGAATCATTTAGTAAATTAAAATTACGATCATGTATATATGAAAAAATTCCATTAATTCCAGAGAATATAAAGTTTCTTTTACAAAACTTGAAAGAATTGAAAATTATAATAAATAATATCGACAAAGAAATTATTCATTGAATCAATACAATCAATTTCTATCATTTACTGTCATAAAGCAAATACAATGCAGTTAATATAATAAATTAAATAATTAAATTTATTGTTATTATGATTTTATTTAAATTAAGAAACAAATGAAATTTGTGGTATTAAAGGAGGTCGTTTCATCATTTCAAAGTTCAAAAGTAACTTTATTCCGTAAGTTTGGCACACGTATACGAAAAACATATGATATCCTATGGATAAATTAATTGTTGAAAATAAAAATGCAGACCAGAGGATCGCACAAGTATTCGCGCGTGATCGTCCGTGAGGGATAAAATTAATTATTAACAGCTAATCCTGAAAATCTATGCGACAATTCTTGCGATATCTTCCTCCCATCAGACTCGCCTTTACCATATCTTAATTAAATTGCCGCATCTTCTTTGACGTTATTTCAAGTATTACTGGTACCTCTTGGACAAACGAGAGACCGGACATTATCAATCTC